GAAGTTTAGGAAATTTGCAAAAACCAAACCAAAATTACAAGAAATACTAAAGGGATCCTCCAGTTAGAAAATCTATCACATCAGATAACAACGCAAGACTAGAACACAGGACAGAGCAACCAGATATCAACCCAGATAGGGAAGTCACAAAAATAAACCAAAGCTAAAACACTGAAAATAGGGAAATAGAGATGTCGATATGTAAAAGATGATAAAATTAGAAAAAAAAAGGGACTAAAAAATATAGACATAAATTTTTCATATCAAGAGGAAGCCAACACAATATAAAGAAATAAAAGACTAGTTTAAACTTGGAAAAATAGGGATAAATATTCAGATAACCACAAAGGAAACTAACAGTCCTACATATCAAGATAAAAAGACAACAAAAATCTAAAGACTCAGCAAATACACAATCAACAACAATGAAAAAGATGAAAAGAAAATACATAAAGAAAAATGACTCAGCACAGAAAATTAAGTGGAACAAAGACACTGTCAACAACACACAAAAAAAGACATCAAAATGACAGCACTAAACTCGTACCTATCAATAATTACACAGAATGTAAATGGACTAAACACACAAATAAAGACAGAGTGGCATAATGGATAAAAAAAAATGATCCATCTATATGCTTCCTAACGAGACACACCTTAGACTTAAAGACACAAACTAAAAGTCAAAGGATGGAAAAAAATATATCAAGCAAACAATACTCAAAAAAGACAAGGAGTGGCAGTATTAATCTCTGACAAAATAGACTTTAAAGTAAAATCCACCACAAAGGACAAAGAAGGACACTATATAACGACTAAAGCGTCAATACACCAGGAGGACATAACTGTAATAAATATTTATGCACCCAATGACAGGGCTCTAAAATACATAAAACAAACTCTAACAGCTTTGAAAACAGAGATAGACAGCTCCGCAATAATAGTAGGAGACCTCAACACACCACTTTCAGTTAAGGACAGAATATCCAGAAAGAAGCTCAGCAAAGACATGGAAAATCTAAGTGCTGCAATCAACTAACTTGATCTCATGGACATATACCAAACACTCCACCCAACAGCAGCCAAGTATACTTTCTTTTCCAATGCACATGGAACATTCTTCAGAATAGACCACATATTAGGCCATAAAGGAAGCCTTAACAAACTCCAAAGCATCAAAGTATTACAAAGCATCTTTTCTGACCATAAAGCCATAAAAGTAGAAATCCATAACAGAAAAAGCAAGGAAAAAAACAAACACATGGAAACTGAACAACACCTTGCTTAAAAACTACTGGGTTATAGAAGACATTAAGGATGGAATAACGAAATTCATAAATCAAACAAGAATGAAAACACACCCTATCAGAACCTTTGGGACACAGCAAAAGCAGTGCTCAGAGGTCAATTTATAGCAATAAATGCACACATCCGAAAAGAAGAAAGACTCCAAAATCAAAACATTAACCCTACAACTGGAACAAGTAGAAAGTGGGCAACAAAAGAAGCCCTCTGGGGACAGAAGAAAGGAAATAATAAGAATTAGAGCAGAATTACATGAAACAGAGAATATAAAAACAATTGAAAGAGTTAACAAGACCAAAAGCTGGTTTTTTGAAAAGATCAACAAAATCGATAAACCATTGGCCTAACTGACAACAGAATGAAAGGCTGCCCAGACTTGTGCCATCCTCAAAATCGTTGTGTTTTAGCCCATTGTTGCAGCCACCGTGTCCGTTCATCTCACTGAAAGTCTTTCTATTTTTTGTTGACTCTCTACTCTACAAAGCATGTAGTCCTTCTCCAGGGACTAGTCCCTCCTAATAACATGTCCAAAGTACATGAGAAGACTAAGTCTCATCATCCTCACTTCTAGGGAGCATTCTGACTGTCCTTCCTCCAAGCTAGATTTGTTTGTTCTTCTGGCAGTTCATTGTATATTCAGTATTCTTCTCCAACACCATAGTTCAAAGGCATTAATTCTTTTTTGGTCTTCCTCATTTATTGCCTAGTTTTGTATGCAAATGAGGTGATTGAAAACACCATGGCTTGAGTCAGGCACACCTTAGTCATCAAATTAACATGTTTGGTTTTCAACACTGTAACGAGGACTTTTGCAGCAGATTGGCCAAATGCAATACATTCGTTGTTTCATTGCTTGACTCCTGCTTACATGGGCTGTGATTGTGGATCCAAGTGAAATGAAATCCTTGACTACTTCATCTTTTCTTTGTTTATCATGATGTTGCTTATTGGTCCAGTTCTGAGAATTTTTGTGTTATGTTGAGGTATAATTCATACCTGTGGTCTTTGATCTTCATCAGTAAGTGCTTCAAGTCCTCTTCACTTTCAGCAAGCAAGGTGGTGTCATCTGCATAATGCAGGTTGTTAACGAGTCTTTCTCCAACCTGATACCCCATTCTTCTTCATATAGTCCAGCTTCTCAGATTATTTGCTGAGCATACAGACTGAATAAGTGCGGTGAAAGGATACTACCCTGCCACACATTTTTCTTGACTTAAATTCCCACATTATCCCCTTGTTCTGTTCGGATGACTGCCCCTTGGTCTAAGTACAGATTCCTCATGAGCAAAACTAAGTGTTCTAGAATTCCCATTCTTCTTGATGTTATGCATAATTTATTATGATCCACACAATCAAATGCCTTTGCATAGTCAATAAAACACAGCTTGTCCTAATGTGAGGACTTGCATGTTGCCGTGATACTGGAAGCTTTGCCACAGGTGTTTCTAATACCAGCAGGGTTACTCTTGATGGACAGCTTTCAGCAAAGCTTCCAGACTAAGACAGACTAGGAGGAAGGACTTCACAGCCTACTTCTGAAAAAAACTGGCCAGTGAAAACCTTATGAACAGCAGCATAATATTGTCTGATATAGTGCCAGAAGATGAACCCCTCAGGTTGAAAAGCACTGAAATACAACTGGGGAAGAGATGCCTCCTCAGAGTAGAGCCCACCTGAATGGCATGGATGAAGTCAAGCCTTTGGGCACTTCATCTGCTGATGTGGCAGGACTAAAATGACTAGAAACAACTGTAAATATCCATTACTAATCATAACATAGAAGGTAGAAAGTATGAATCTAGGAAAATTGGAAGTCGTCAAAAATGAAATAGAACTCATAAACATGGATATCGCAGGCATTGGTGAGCTGAAATGGACTGGTACTGGCCATTTTGAATCACACAGTCGTATGGTCTACTCTGCTGGGAATGACAAATTGAAGAGGAATGACATTACATTCTTCGTCAAAAAGAACATTTCAGGAACTATCCTGAAGTACAACGTATGGACAGCATAATATCCATACACCTACAAGGAGGACCAGTTAACATGACTATTATTCAAATTAAGCAACTACCACAAAGGCCAAAGATGAAGAAATTGAAGATTTTTACCAGCTTCTGCAGCCTGAAATGGATCGAACATGCAATTCTCGAACATTGATGATTACTGGTGATTGGAATACCAAAGCAGGAAACAAAGGAGGCTCACTAGCTGGAAAATATGGCCTTGGTGATAGAAATGATGCCAGAGATCCCATGATAGAATTTTGCAAGATCAGCCACTTCTTTATTGCAAATACGTTTTTTCACCAACATAATCTGCAACTGTACACTTGGACCTTACCAGATGGAATATACATGAATCAAATCCACAATTTCTGTGTAAAGAAGTGTTGGAAAAGCTCGGTATCATCAGTCAGAACAACCCAGGGACCGACCTCAGAACAGACCATCAATTGCATATTTTATATATATATATATATTTTTAATAGTCCATGGGTGGTACAAACAGTTAAGTGTTCGAATACTAACTGAAAAGAGGCTGTTCAAATCCACCCAGAGGAGCTCAAAGAAAGGCGCAGCAATTTGCTTCTGAAACAGCACAACCTTGAAAACCCTATAGAGCAGGTCTACTGTGCACACATGAGGTGAGGTCGCCATGAGTAGAGTCAACTTGACGGTAACTGATTTTTTTTATCCCTAATAGGAAGAATTCCTACAAATCAAACATAGTCTGGCAAGTAAAATCAATACAAAAGAGTTAAAGGGGTATTCAGAAAACAAGACCTGCGAGTAGGCAGTTTCCCCTTCAGGGTTACTCTGCCAGCTGTGGAGAAGATTTTTGAGCAGATGGAACCAAGGCTCACCCTCTCCAGAAATTACATTTGATTAAAGAGAGAGACTTTGCAGAGGCACCCCACCCGCTTCCCAAGGCAGCTGGCATCTAATGACTGGCTAGTACCTCCCTGTCTAGAAACTAATAGATGACATTTAGGATTTATTTTCTCCTTTTTGGCAAATGTTTGCTTCGTGCTTCCCTCTCTGCTGGGAAGCCTGCACTGGACACAGAAAACATGAAATAGGTCTGCTCCCAGCAGTCCAGGAAGGTGTCCTGCCTCCTTGGTGATGCCGAGCCTCCCTCCCTGGGCCACATGATAGAGCTGTGTCCTGTGGCCGCACCACTGGCTGCCTGAGGGCTCTGTGGCTCCACGGAGAGCTGCTGACAGCAGTGTGGGAGAAACAGGTCAAGGAGGATTCTTGGCTGGGTCCTGGCTGGGGGAGCCTCTTTGAGGAACCAGGCTAATGGGGGGTCTGAGGGGTTAAACATAGTCTTCTGGCACCCACTGACGTGATCTGCAGGTGTATTTACCACAGCAGGGAGGAAGCCCTCTGGAGCTTGCATTTGGTGGGGACAGGAGGGGCCTTCAGGAGGCAGCCCCCAGGAGAACCAAGGTCAAGTGCGTACCAAGGATCAATGGTCTCAGAGAAAGATCAGAGAGGGTGTGGTGACGGTTACTGCCCCGACCATTCCCGGCCACCTTGGCCTGATGGCCCCACCTTCTCCACAGGAGCTGGACAGAGGGGAGGACCAGAGTGCAATGAGCCTGTGCTGTTAGGGGTTGAAAGGGGTGCTTAGGATCATACAGGGATGATGACATCAGAACAGCAGTGTCACGGGGACAGTCTAGTCAGAGGAAGGGTAGGACAAGCCTGCTCTCTGGAAGCCCTGAGCAGGAGATGCCCACCCCCTTGCTGTCAGACCCTGCCAGGGGCTCCAGGATCCTCTGCTGGGTGGCTCTGTGTCTCCTGGGGGCAGGTGAGTCCTGGGCTCGGGCAGGACCTCCCTGAACCCACAGGTGTCAGATGGTGCTGCGCATCAGGCTCCCATAAGGTAAGCTCCAGCTTGTCCCCTACCCCATAGGTCCCGTGGACACTGGCACTGTCCAGTCCCCAAGACACATCATCACAGAAAAGGGAGGACAAGCCACTCTGAAATGCCACCCTGTCTCTGGCCATCGCAGTGTATACTGGTACCAGCAGGCCCAGGGCCAGGGCCCCAAGTTCCTCATTCAGTACTATGATAAGACGGAGAGAAATAAAGGCGATATCCCGGACCGGTTCTCAGCCCAACAGTTTTCTAACTACAGCTCGGAGCTGAAGTTGAGCACCCTGGAGAAGGGGGACTCGGCCATGTTCCTCTGTGCCAGCAGCATTGACACAGCCCTGCAGAGCCACCTCACACCTGTACCCAAACCTCCTGCTCCCACTGGGGATGTGAGGGAGGGCGAACAGTGCAGCCCCAGCCCAGCCCCTGTGGTGCTGCGGTCCTTCCCCGACACTCCCTGCCACTGAACATGTCCAGAGTTCCCTGACCACCACATCACTCAAGTTCTCAGCTCACAGGCCCCCTCCAATCCTAGCAAAGGGCAGAAGGGCCTACTCCGTGGGAGAGAGTAGGAGAACAAGGAAGGACATTATCATGTCCACTTTATAGATGGGGACATCTTCCGTCACTTTACAGACTGGAAGCTGAGGCTCATGGAGACTCCCCATATTTCATATTACAAATATTGGAGCTAGGATTCAAGACTATGTCTCTATGCTCCAGAACTAGTGTTTCCTCAGTCACATAGTGTCCCCAGTCTTGGTCAATAAGACGTGATGGAGCATGTCTCTCTCCTGGAGACCAGCTGAGCAGGTGTGAGAGGTCACACGTCATGGTGTGTGAGTGCTGCCGCTTAGTCCCCTGACTTCCAGGACCTAAAGCTTCAGCCAGAGAACAGGTGTGTGTCCCGAGCTGTGACCCAGTAGGAAGATGCTCCCCTCTGCCCCGTTCCACACGAAGCAGAGTCATGACACCCTCCAAATCCTGGGCTAAGTAACTAGGGGGTTTCCCAGGACCACAGAAGATTCAGCCAAGAAAATAGAAGCCCACCAGGAATTGAAGGCAGGGTGGGAGCTAACACAGGGAATTGGCACTCTCAAAATATCAGAAGGGCTGGGGAGGGAGGGCCTGGGGAGGCTGCAGCTGGCACTCAGGCCCACCTTTAAGGGTCAGAAATCTGAAGCTGCTACAGCTGTTGAAGTAAGGAGCTGGAGAAAACAGCCAAGGGTCAGAGTGGACATGTAGCCACCATGTAGATGATTCACAGGGAAGTATCCAGAGGCTCTTGCAAAACACCCATCTGCTGCTATGGATGAAATGTCTTTCTTCTGTCTGCCAAATTTTCCCCAGTTTAGCTTATTGGAAGAAGCTAAGCTGTTTCCAGAAAGGTGCTGTCAGCAGACTCTGGAGAATGGAGATTCAAGGCTTCTAGCTCTTGCAATACAGGCGAGAGTGTTGGAGGGCATTTAAGGTACCTGGGGCCCTGGTGGCACAGTGGTTAAGAGCTCAGCTGCTAACCAAATGGTTGACAGTTCAAATCCACCAGCTGTTCCTTGGAAATCCCATTGCAAAGTTCTACTCTGTCCTATTGGGTTGCTATGAGTTGGAATCACCTTGACGGCAATGGGTTTGGTTTTTGGGGGAATTTTTTGGGTGCCAAGAGGGAGCCATGGTGGTGCAGTGGTTTAGCACTCACCTGCTAACTGAAAAGTTGGAGGTTCAAACCCACCCACTGACTCCACAGGAGAAAGATGTGGCAGTTGGCTTCTGTAAAGATCACAGCATTGGATACCCTATGGGGCAGTTCTTCTCTGCCCTATAAGGTCTCTATGAGTTGGACTTCACTCAAAGGGAATGGGTTTTCTGGGTGCCAAGACCATACTTAGCACCTCAAGCTACAGAGACCAGAAAATACAAAGCATGAGAGTGAATTTTAATTTGCTGCCATCTTGTCCACAAAAATCCATTGTAGTTTAGCTGTAGGATACTTGTTACTCATTTGTTAATTTCTGGAATATCTACACTGGAAAAAAAAATCCTTGAAGTTTGGGAAACAAGACTTAATTTAAAAAAAATCACACTCCTTATCTTTAAGAACAGAATAAAGTCCTGGCGACCTGCTTCCATAAAGATTACAGTCAAGGAAACCCTATGGAGCAGTCCTACTCTAACACAGGTGGTGGCCATGAGTCAGCATCAACTCGACAGCAGCTACCAACAGCAACACAACATGATAACACATTGAAGAAGTGGATGACTTGAGATCCAAGCATCTCCTTTTTCCAAAGATTACATTAAGATGTGCGGTCACAGAAATAGCCCTGACTGAGCGATGGTCTCTATATGAAACTACATCACCTACTGCTGTTGACTACACGGAAGTTCTGAGTTACAGCAAGCTTCTGGCTCAGCTGATATTCTTCCATTTGGTAGGGACAAGACTTTCTGAATGGAGACAGAGAGTTTCCCTGTGACCCAGGAAGCTCTCTATGAACACCTCATTTGCACCATGAAAGACACTCTTTTCTTCAAGGCCAGCACAGTCACAAGGACTCAGGCAGCCCAATGCTCCGCAACCTCATTCCAAACAAGGGAGGACCTGGCCCACAAGAGCACAGGGGAGCCACGTGTGGACCACGGCTCTGTGAACTGCTGGAAACAGCACAACATGAGTCTTCACCCCCGAAAACTTGCTGACTGTCAGGCTGGTTCTTTTAATGAGGGGGTCGCTGTAGGCTGACACAAGTGATCCAGATTCTGGGTGAGGAGGAAAATTGGTAAAAGGTTCCTGGAGGAGAGTTTTGATCAGACAAGTCAGAAAAGGCACCAGGGTGGCCATGATGATCCTCCCTACACTACAGAAATATCAGGCGAGTAAAAATAGTATGCTGTTGTTAGCTGCCAATGAACTATCTCTGACACATGGAGACCCCACGTGTGCAGAGTAGACTTGTCCATAGGGTTTTCAAGGCCTTGATCTTTCACAAGCAAATCACCAGACTTTTCTTAAGAGGTGCCTCTGGGTGGGTTTGAACTGCCAAACTTTCAGCTAGTAGTCGAGCGCTCAATCCTTTGTGCCACCCATGCACTTCAAAAACAACACTAATGAGGAATTATACCATAGCGGGAAGAAAATATATATAGAGAAACAAATTTCCTCCCAGAAGTCAGGGACACGACATATACACAGATAAACTGTTTACAAACAGAGCTACAAATGCTCCCATTCGGAACTGCTCGGCTGTGCATCTATGATTGACTTGTTCCTGTGGGGAGCAATGTGGCTGCCAAACTCTGTAGTGCAAGCACCTGTGGGGACAGTGACGTCATGAGCATCTCTACTGGAGGTCCACATCCCACGACGGAGCTGAGACACAAATTCTCCCTGCGCTGGGATGGGCCCCAGCTGCCTCTTCCCCGTGGTCCTCTGTGTCCTGTGGGCAGGAAAGTCCTGGTCACAGATGCACCTCCTTCCGTGGGCCTCCCACAGCCTCAATACAAGCCCTTTTCCTGGGACCACAGCATCAGCCTCTGCTGCTGTCTGTTACAGGGCACACAGATGCTGGTGTCACCCAGACCCCGAGGCACAAGGTCACAAGGACAGGAGGGAATGTGACCCTGCAATGTTCCCAGGACATGAACCACGACTACAGGTACTGGTACTGACAAGACCCGGGACTGGGGCTGCGGCTGATCCATTACTCAGCAGGTGCTGGCACCACCAACAAAAGCGATGTCCCTGATGGTAGAGTGTCTCCAGATCAAATACGGAGCACTTCCCCCTCCCACTGGGTTCAGCTGCCCCCTCACAGACAGCTGTGTACTTCTGCGCCAGCAGTGTCTCCAAAGCGCTTCACGACCACCTCAGCCCCACACAGAAGGGGTAGCTAGAGGGGTTGAGGTTGTCCTGTGTTCATGCGTCCTAGCCCTGGGAAGGGCACCTCCAGAAGCCCTGGTATGCACATGGCCCTGAAGTGTGCAGTGTCCTCCATGAAGCCCCAACCTCACTAGAGGTCACCTCATGCCCTGGCCTGCAGGTTCTCTCTGCTGCAGGAAGGGAAACTCGTCTTCACGTGAGCTGCAGGGAGATGCCCTCAAAAACCCCAGGGCAGCACACTCTCCCCTCTCCTCCCTCCACACTGTTGGTTCACAGTCAACCTCCTCTCATATCCCTCTACTCAGCACGCCCTTGCTCTTGGAACCGCGCTGCAAGGCCCCAACCATCCCCATGTCCATTAACTCAACCTGCTTCCAAAACAAGTCCAGGCAATCACCCAGCCACCACCTAGTCTGATTGTGTTCCGAACCCGTGAGGCTGGTAAAAAGAGAAGCCAAAGAGAAGGGTAACTACAGGTGAGACCAAGAGGCCATTCATAGGTATCTCAAATCCCCGGACTGGGATGCTGTATTAAGGTGGAGATAGTTTGCAGGCAGACTTTGAAGTTGGTGCAAAGGGTTGAAGCACTCGGAGGCTAATTGAAGGGTTTGAGGTATGAGTCCACCCAGAGTCATCTTGGAAGAAAGGCCTGGTGATCTACTTCCAAAAATATCAGTCAGTGAAAATCTTATGGAGCACAGTTGTACTCTATACACATGGGGTCACCATGAGTCAGGGTCAACTTGACAGCACCTCGTTGGTTTGTAGACATCAGTCTTCCATCTGTGATGTGGGTGTAAGATACAAAACCACTATCTCAGCAGGTTTGCAAAGCTGTGCATGTATGGAGGGACCTCTGAGCTACTGTATACCAAAAGAAAAAAGAAAAACAAAACACTGTTGCCATCAAGTTGACTCCAACTCACAGTGACCTCACATGACAGGGTAGAACTGACCCATAGGGTTTTCTAGGCTGTAAATCTGTATGGAAGCAGACTGCAACATCTTTCTCCCACAGAGCAGCTGGGAGATTTGAACTGCTGACTTTTCAGTTAGCAGCTGAGCACTTAAACACTGTGCCACCAAGGCTCCTTAAGCCACTGAGCCACCCTGTAGGATGTGAGAAACAGGGAGCTGTGTGGAGAGGTCTGGAAGGATATGCGGCAGGGGTAAATAAGGGAACACCTGACTCAAAGAAGCAGTAAATGGTTTAGGTGATAAACTGCTGCTCTGTGCCTGACCCAGCCATGCCCAGACTCCTTGCAAAGCAGGAAGCTGGGTACAATAACACAGAGAGGGGTGAACCTCACCCTGTGATGTCAACAGCAGCTTTGTCACCACAGGCAAATCTACCTACCCGGGACCAGGGTCTGTGAACTCTCACCTCTGCACCCAGAGATCAGAGCCTGAAACAGACGCCGCACTCCCGCTCTAGCCTTGCTGCGGGTCCCGGTCTTCTCCCCTGCCTGGTTCTTTGTCTCCGGGAACCAGGCGAGTCCCGGGCAGAAGGAATGCTTTGACTAAGGCTCTATTGTCTTCAGTTCTGAAGTCCCTGGGTAGTGCAAGTGGTTTACACGCTTGGCTGCTAACTGAAAGGTTGCAGGCTTGAGTCAACCTAGAAGGGCCTTGTAACAAAGGCCTGACAATCTACTTTTGAAAATCAGACATTGAAAACCCTATAGTGCCCAGTTCTACTCTGACACACATGGGGTCGTCATGAGTAGGAGTCAACTCGAGGGCAACTAGACTGGTCCTCAGTCCTATGACTTTCTTTCATGGCAGCAACATCAGCCTCTTTCTTGACTCTAAGTTACCCTTCTCTCTCTACAAGTCCCATGGATGCCATGCTCACCCAGAGCCCAAAATACCAGGTTACCAAAGTGGGAAAATTGGTGACTCTGAGTAATTCTCAGAATCTGAATCGTAATACCATGTACTGGTACCAGCAGAAGTAGAGCCAAGCTCCAAAGCTGCTGTTCTACTACTACAAAACAAACTTTAATAAGGAAACAGATACCGCTGATAACTTCCAACCCAGCCAGCCCAACACTTCCTTCTGTGCTCTTGATATCTGTTCGACAGGCTTGGGGGACTCGGCCTTGTACCTGTGTGCCAGTAGTAGAGATACAGTGGTGCGGCCTTGCCTCTTCTCTGCTCGTAAACCTTCCATCCCCCAGATACAAGAGCCATCTCTAGGACCTACACCCTTTCTTACAGCAACAACAGGAAGTGAGTTTATGGCTGCCATGATCTCATCTGTAGGCAGGAGCTGAGCATAAACCTGCAAAAACCATTGTCAGTTATGCTGAGAGTAGTACACTGACTACAATGGCCTGATGTTCAGTTTCTGGTAGTTTCCTCAATATCCAGTTTGTGGTATTTTCCTAGGATCAGCTTCATCACCCACTCTTCCTTGAACCATTGATTTAAAGTTAAATCTGTTCTGTCCTCTTCAGAACACAAATAGAAACTTTTCTTCTTTTTTCATTGCTTGTTTTAATCTTATCTAAATCAAAAAACCAAATCCATTACCCTCCAGTGGATTGCGACTCACAGTGACCCTATAGAGTATATAGAGTAGAACTGTCCTATAGGGTTTCCAAGGAGTAGCTGGTGGATTTGAACAGCCAGTCTCTTTGGTTAGCGGCCAAGGTCTTAATCATCGTGCCACTAGGGCTCCTTAATCTAAATTAGAGGCTTAGAAATACAAGAGGCATTATGTGAAGGATTAGGGTAACCCAATGCACATAACTGATTCTCTCTCATTTGATCAACACTTAGAGTATTTAGTATTCTAGGAGAATCCACATGTTTTCAGTACAGATATGGGGCGACTTCCACATTAAAAGGAGAATGAAAGTAGATATAGTCCCCAAATAAAAATCTTGCAAGGTAGATCCCATCTTAGAAAAAAAGGCACTACACTAAACTGCTCGTCTCTGGAGTTGGAGGTGCTGTTGGAATAGCAAATGAAAACCATAAATAGTAAAAGAAATCAGACTGGAAAGAGAGTATGTTTGGAGATGTATAAGATGGGTTATCTGTATGGAAGAAGAAGATAAATCCTGAGACAAACAAGAGCTCCAGGGAAAGCCAAAAAGGAAGGTCACAGGAGTGAGGGAGATGGGCTTCCCGTGGCTGAGCTAAAGGGGACACCTTGTGCATTGTCAAAGGGGAGTGCAATGTCTTATAATTTATCCCTGGGTGAGAATGGTGTTCTGAATTAAGGCAAAAACCATAAAGACTGATACAGTTATCTACCTAAAAATGTAAAATCCTGCACATTAAAAAAGTACAGTAACCTAGAAAAATATTTCAAGGATAGTACAAAAGAGATTTTTATAAATTCTTAACATGTGTTTTAATGATAGTAATGATAGCTGTTTTTCTCTAAGCACTTACTACAACTGGACACCAAGGTTGTTTTCTTTTTTTAACATATGTTAGCTTGTGTAAGGAAATAAAGAAGGAAGAAAGGAAGGAAGATAGGCAGAAAGGAAGGAAGGGAAGGAGGGAGGAATGGAGGGAAGACAGAGGTTAAAGTTTGGAGAGGCCAAGACAGCTAGAATTTGTGAGAAGACTACCTGAGAGAAGAAAGAAGAAGCTACACGAAGAAAGAACTCCGGACACTGCATAAAGCTCTCTGCATAGGGAAATGTGCTGGGGAAATTTAAAAAGCATTTGAGAAGAACCCAGACAACACTCCCCAGCGCCCCCAGTAGGGCCATACTTTGGTAGTGGTTCAAAAGTTGCCTAGAGCATGAGTTCGCAAATACAGATTGGACACCTATTTCTGTAAAGAAATTTTACTGAGGGGAGATACACTTCCAAAATGGTGGCACGAGGAACTCCACACTCTCCCCACTGTATTAACCATTTCTGGTGAAAAATCACCATTTAAGTTCCCTGGAAATTTTCCCAAGGGCATACAGCATATGGAGACACATTCATTCAAGAAAAAGTACTAAATCTTGGTCAGAACAGTGAGTCTGTGGCATTTGAGCTTTGACACCCCTTCCCATCTCTGTGTGACAAAAGTTCTAACCTCGGGTGGGTCAAGAACATGGAACCCTCCCCCGCCCCCCAGTCTAGGGCTACAATTTCTCCGTGGAGGGGCAGATTGCTAGCATTTATCATCCTGCACCCTAGTTCTGTGTCACAGAAATGGTATTTCAGACAAGCAGAGCCAAGAGATCTGGGTTCCCTTTTTCCATCCAGCACCAACTTGTAAAGTGGAAGCTCTCCCCAAGGCACAGCAGACCAAGAATACTGGGCCTTGTCTTCCTCATCCAGCATGTTCATTTTGAGGAGATTCCACTTAGAGAAACGTAGACCAAGAAAACTAGTGGCTGCCACTCCCCTGCCCAGTACCCCACTCATGGAGTAGGAGTATTCTTACAGGAAATTCCAATAGAGCCCAGCCAAAATCTCTATCATCCCTGAAGGGGTAGGGGTCAGGGAGATTGAGTCATGCCAAGCCATGCCCTCTGAGGAGTGACAGCATCGCAGACTGCACACAGCAGAGGAAATGGGCTTCTCAAATCAAACCACTAATCAAAAGCACAAACAAATAAACAAGGTGGAGGTTGAAGCTGAGCAATCAGTACACAGAGCCACTGCAATTCATTACACAAAATGTTTAGATGTATTCAGAGTACTGAAAGAAAAGAAAAACAAACAAACATGTCAACCAAGACTCTTATACCCAGCAAAACTATCACTCAAAAAATGAAGGTGAAGCAAAGGCGTACTCAATAAACACAAGCTGACAGAATTTTTTGCTATCCCACACACCTTACTGAAAATACTAAAGGGGGGTTTTCGAGCTGAAAGCAAGTGATATCAGTGACATCTGCCATGTGATTTAACCCCACTAAAGAAACAAAGATCACCAGGAAAGGTGATTATGTAGGTAAATACAGTAGATAGTATAATTGCGTGTTTCCTCTCTTAACTGATTTTAAAAGCAATTGCATGTAAAACAATACTTATATAATTGTATTGTTGGGCCTGTAACGACAGAACTGTGGTGTATTTGATAACAGCAGCACATAGGAGGTGAGTGGGAGCAAAGCTGTGTTCGAGTAAGAAAATGATGCTGTTCCTCTTAGTTACTGTCGAGTCGGTTCCGACTCATGGTGACACTATGCTTGTCAAAGTCAAAGTGTGCTTCATAGGCTTTTCAAAGGCTGAATTTTGGAAGTAGATCACCAGGCCTTTCTTTCAAGGCACCTCTGGGTGAGTTAAAACTGCCAACCTTTCAGTTAGTAGCCGAGCGCAAACTGTTTTTAAAGCAAATCCACAGGAAGAAATGAAGAGAAACAGAAATGGTAAATAAGAAAGTTAATAAAACAAACTATAAATATAGACTACGTCTCCTTTCCTCTCTCAGCTTCTGTAAAAGATACAGCAGGGGACCGGACAAATCAATGATGATATAGTCACACGAGAGAACATTTGAAATGAAATGAACATGAAAAGGAATAAACTGGATATATATAAATAATGAATCACAAACATAATTTTGAACTTAAAATATGAGTATTGTAGAAAAATACAGTGTGATTTCATTTATAGAAGAAAACAAAATGGTACCGACTTTAGATGTATTTAGATGTATTTACAAATGAGCAAAAGCTAGAAAAAATTCAAGGGATTACTAGAAGGGTTTAAAACAATGGTCACCTCTGTACGGGAGAGAGGAGAATGGTTTAGAGAAGAAGAGTGACGACAGGATACTTCTAAAATTACATATGTTCATCTGCTTTAGAGTACGTGGGTGTTAATTTTATTGAAATCTCTTCTGCATTATATACAGCTAAAATATCTTTATTTTTTTCAATATAAAACATTTTTTCAAAAGTAAAGTGTGAGTATATGAGTAGGAAAAAGCCTTGGAAAATCCACATGAATTATTGGTTTGTTGCCTGGGGTAGGTAGGAATTTGTGAAGGAGTAGATAGGGTGGGAAATGGGAGACAACAAATTCATTAAAGTACTGTCCAAGACCTTTTCCTTTTTGTAATGGAAGAAAAGCAGAGACAGAGAAGCAAAGAAAGGCAAACTCAGCATGGTTTACCTACAAATTGACGTTGTTACAATGTCCCCTCCTTTAAGCGAGGGTAAATCTGCCTCCTGTGTTCTGTGAAGTACTTCTGTCTCATGTACAGAGCCGCACATCAAGGACGACTGGATTCTATGAAGTGGCCACGTCACACAGAAGCTGCGGATAGGAGATAGGAAGCCTTAGAGAATGTCACCTGCCTCCATTCTTCCCCTAACTCTGCCATGCACCCAATAGTCATTGGCTTTATAGTCCTTTGCTTCCTGAGTGCAGGTAACTCTCTGTCCTGAATGTGCCAGTCCCCAGCCCTAGGCCTTTCCCAATGCCCATGTCACCAGACTCCCTCTTGGACTCACTCTCTAATCTCTGTCTCCTTCCCTTGCAGGCTCCTTTGATGCTGAAGTCACCCAGACGCCAAGACATCTGCTCAAAGGGAAAGGACAAAAAGTGAAAATGGACTGTGTTCCGATAAAAGGACACAGTTATGTTTATTGGTATCAGCAGATCCCAGCCAAAGAGTTCAAGTTCTTGATTTCATTTCAGAACGAAAAGATCTTTGATGGAAATGAGATGCCCAAGGAGAGATTTTCAGCTGAGTGCCCCCAAGACTCAGCCTGCAGCCTGGAGATCCAGCCGGCAGGGCTACAGGACTCGGCCATGTATTTCTGTGCCAGCAGGGTGTCCACAGTGTGAAACATCAGCTATTCTTGGTGCACAAACTCAGGGTGGCCCAGCACAGGAAACAGGTGGCTCGCTGGTTGGAAGGAAGGAAGAGAAGCCAACTAGAGTGCCCTTAGCCAACAGGGAGTTTATTGCAAGGCTAAACATGTGCCCCTCCTGAAAAAAAAAAAGAAAAACAGTTACTGTCCAGTCAATTCAGACTCACAGAGACCCCATGTGTGCAGAGTAGAACTGTGCTCCATAGGGTTTTCAAGGCTGTGGCCTTTCAGAAGCAGAGTGCCAGGCCTTTCTTTCCAGGTACCTGTGGATGGATTCCAATCACCAACCTTTTTGTTAGTAGCTGAGCGCTTAACCATTTATGTTGCCTAGGGACTCCAAAGAACCCCAAAACAAGAACACAGACATTTCTCAGAAACAATCTGAAATGAAGTCTTGCAGCTATGACATGGCCAACTTTATAACTCGTTTCTTTTTTCTGCCTTGTTTATCTCACGATTCTTCCTTATTATATATTGTTTTCTTCATTTCTTAGCTCTCATAGAAAGTAGATGGTTATATATTCTGATTGTAGTTTTCCAACCACATTGAGAAGGATGAGCTTGACTGTCTCTCTACCTAGACTACAAAATCCAGAAGACAGGAGAGATTGTCCCTGCTTTTCTCAAGAAGGTTATCTTGGAAAATCCACCTCTAGTCACAGGGGTCAGGTCATTTTGAACATGGCACCTGGGGCCTGTCCCTTTGAGTTTATGGATCAAAAGGCCAGGATTTCAGGGAGAGGAATACACAAATTAGGGGCTAGGGCACCCAAGAGATGTCCATTACAAATGAGAAGGGGAATTGTTAATGTATTTGCTGGCTACAGCGATCCTGGGAGAAGAGAAGGAAATAGAAGATCAAATCTTAGTTTTCAGAACAATGTGCAAGCCAGTGAAGATCCCAGTGTATCTCTTTATATGGGGTTAAACTCTGGCAGCACAATAAGCATGCTAATGTTAAGTGTGACAGCTTCAGATGCTGCAAAGTCACTTGTTGGTTTCTGTGGAGCTGAGACAAGAGAGCAGATTAGTGTGTTCTCAGTGGGAAAATACCTGTTGTGGAGACAAGCAAAAAGTGCTCAGGTATGTGACTGAAATATAGGAGGGACAACACACTCAACATCGATACAGTTGTAGGGAGGCATTGGGTTATTAACTCTACCTGGGTAGGTCATTATATTTACATAGAGCAGATGGAGAATTCAGTATATCTCTGTTAAAATTCTATAATCCATTCTGTCCACAAAACTGGCCTTTCTACACCACCCCACCACTCAACTTTGGAGAACTTTATAGATTCTCTCTGGACTCACCTTCCTTTTTTCAATATCAGCTGAACCCACTGGACTTACTCTCAGAAATCCAAACTTACTTCTTCTGTTTTCGGGCAAAATTTCTTTCTGACGCCTTAAAACATCAGCTCTCACTTTGCTGGTGTAATTGTATGACCTCTTATTCAAGCACTGGACAAATCAGTTGTTAGCGGAAACACAACAAGAATGTTCCTTAGAAGCAAGGATGACAAAACTTCGACTGGCTCATAGTGGACCTGTCATCAGGGAGAACCAATCAATGGAAAAGGACAGCATGTTTGGTAAAGTAGAGGGTCAGCACAAAAGCTAGAGACCCTTAATGAGATGAGCTGACAAAATTGCCGAAACGATGGACTCCAACATAACAACGATCGTGAAGATGGCGCAGGACCAGGCAATGTTTCATTCTCTTATACCTAAGGTTGCCGTGAACCAGAGCTGACTCGACAGCAACTAACAAGAACATTTTAAGTTACTTTTCCAGCTCTCTATAAGGAGTGTCCTTAGTACCCCATTCTTGGTCCCCTCCTAGTCCACTGTTACTCCTGGTGGCTGATACCTTAGCTCTTGTCACATAGGAATCACTTCTCTGGATGCCATTGTCAGCCTTCTCTTGGACTACTTCCGTTCTGAAGAAACTGCTCTCCTAACGGTCAAAACTGCCTATGACCAGACCAAAAGTCATGTTTGCTGCTTTGCTTGCTTGATCTCTTTGAAGAATGCAGCAATACTGACCATACAGTAAGTCTGGAGCTGTCTCTCGGCTCAGGTTCATTCATACCCTTTCAAGTTAAGTTTCTTCTCCTCTTTTTTTTTTTTTTTTTTTGTTTTAATGCAGTATGCAGATCCTAAATTTATCCATTAAATATCCCCCTTCCCAGGAAAATTCCTCTTGTTCTATTTACGTTTTAACCTTCTAGTTTATTGACTTATGAAATCATCTTTTTGTTGTTAGTTTAGCCATTTAAAAATCTCTACTCAAAAACTTTTAAAATGTCATGGGCAGACAAATTACTCAGCATCACTGAAAGTACAAGTAAAAAGGCCTGTTACGGGGTGTGGTCAGAACTTCAAAGTCAGGATATCTGGAGGTGGGCTCTAGGATTGCAGGTTTATTTTACCAAGCCCCCAACGATTTCTCGTCAGGGGTAAAGTTTGAGGACTACGGCCATGAGGATTTTAAAAACCTTGCCAGCATGTCAATTCCGACTCATAGTGACCTTAGAGTACAGAGCAGAACTGCCCTATAGGGTTTCCGAGGCTGGAATTTTTATGTAAACAGACGGCAACGCCTTTCTCCCACAGAGTGGCTGGGGGATTGAACCGCCGACCTTTCAGCCAGCAGCCGAGCACTTAACCATTATGCAACCGAGACTCGTATCAGGACTTAAGGGACTGATAAAACAGCAACTGCACTGTAGTTTCTCCCATTTTGTTTTTGCTCTTTCTTTTCCCTCTCACTCAGCTTTTCTTTTTTCCACTTTCTCTTTGGTTTTCTCTAAGGTTCAACTTTCCTAAGTCCCCTGAAGTGGAGTTGGAGACTTGTTTGCATTATCCCTGTAAGAAAGTAAAGATAAGGTCAACTACTTGGAAAGGTGCCTCCCTTGTGAAGAGAGGCCAGCAGCTGGGGCCGTGTTCAGGAAAGGGAGGTAAGTGTCAGATGCACGTTGCAGGCCAGAGGAGCAGCATCTCCCTTCCTCTCTGCTCTGAGCACTCAGATCCAGTGCTGGGAGACCTCATCCTGCCCACCCCCATGGACACCGGGCTCCTCTGCTGAGTGGCCGTCTGCCTCCTGCGGGTAGGTGAGCTCAGGGACATGGGACAGTTTGAAGGGATAATGTTTCCCCAGGCTGCCCTGATGCTCCGTGACCTCTGTTCTCTTCTTCAGGCCACACAGAACCTGGAGTCCTCCAGACCCCCCGCCATAGGCTCACAGAGGTTGGCAGGGGGTGACCCTGAGGTGTGACCTCCCTCCTGGTCACATATTTCTGTACTGGTACCAGCAGAGTCAGGGGCAGGGAGTGGAGTTTCTGATTTCTTTCAGTACAAAATGCTGAGGAGGTGTCTGGGATGCCTAGGGAGATGATCTTGGCCAAGGGGTCTGGAAGGTCCTTCTCCATGTTGAGCATCTGGACTGCAGGGTGCAGGGACTCAGCGGTGTACCTGTGTACTAAGGGACATTGACGAAAGGTCGGGGAAAACCAAGAGAATGAAATTGACATAAATGAACACCTAAAACCGGCCAGATAGAAAGTGACCAAGTGGACACAAGACCCCGGTGTGAGGTCACTGGTGGACCCAAAGGGAGACAAGACCCAGGTGTGAGGTCCCTGGTGGACCCAAGGGCAGCCACCAAGCTTTGTGCAGCTGCTGACTTGAGTGGTGCCTTGATTTCCACGGCTGTCACAGATCCCTGTGATGGACACCAGGGGACACTCTTGCCTGAGAAAGATGATGGGATCAAGCTGCATCCTGCATCCTGTAGGACCAGAGTATTTGCAAGCTCCTACAGGTGATCAAAGCATCCTGTAACTAGGAGGTAAAACAGACGGGTCAGTCGGGGGAGGCCCTGCCCCAGAAGTGCAGAGATGCTGCAACAAGGAAGAGGAGGATGCAGAGGTCCTGAAACCCCGGGGGAGGCGCTGTGACTGCTGTCTCCTGGCCTCAGTCTCCTCCTCTGAAGAATTAGGGAAGCCACCTTGAGTGCCTTCAGGATCCCTGCCAGCTGTTCATCTAGCCCTCTGAGGAATTCACATATTCAACCAAGGGGTCCCCAGAGTGTCCTCCCACCTCTCACTTCCCAAGTGCTGGCGATACAAGGAGACAACTCCCAGCGATGGGCAGTCGGGTCCTCTGCTGCATGGCCCTTTTTCTCCTGGGGGCAGGTGAGTCAGGGCTCAGGGAGGCATCCTTCCCTACCCAGCAAGATCTGCTCTCAGCCCCTCAGTGACAGCAGTATCAGCACCTCCTCTCTGGGCTTCAGCTTCTTTCTCTTCCCACAGGCACCACGGATTCTGGAATCACTCAGACCCCAAAATACCTGGTCCGAGAGGAAGGGCAGAACGTGTCCCTGAAATGTGAACAGACTTTCAATCATGACTCCATGTACTGGTACCTGCAGGACCCGGGGCATGGGTTGAGGCTGATCTACTACTCACTAGTCTCAAATAATGTCCAGGAAGGAGACGCAGCTGCAGGCTACAGAGCCTCTCGGAAGAAGAAGGAGCATTTCCCTCTCATGGTGACACGGGCCCAAAGGAACCAGACGGCTCTGTACCTCTGTGCCAGCAGCTTAGCCACAGAGAAGCACAGCCACTGCCTCCCCATGCATAAATGTGTCCCACCTCTCCAACCCCAACCACAGGCTTGGGTGCTCTGTGGCCACGCCCTGCCCTCCTCCTCCAGCCAACCAGGCACACGAAGCAGCTACTGCCTTATAAAATGAACTGAAAAGAGGGCATATAAAAACGAAAGTAAAGGGGGACTCCAGCAAGATGGCGGTCTAGGCAGAAGCACCACGCCGTCCCTCCACAACAAAGATCCGAAAAACTAAGCCAAACAGAGAATCAACAATCCTGAAACCCTAGAACATCAAAT